GCAAATTGCTTGAACTTCCCGTTTCAGAATTAAATATTCGAGCAAAAAAGATAATAATCAATTAATATTGATCAATGATTAATAACAATTGTCTTAATATTTTCAAATATAAAATTATAATTACTATATATGTATTCGTTCATATAATATATAGTAACGATCTTATCGTTCAAAACACCTAAAAATGTTTACATTAAGAAATGCAAAGTAACCCACTAAGGATATATTTCTTACGATTGCAATAACGCATATGAAATATATACATCTTTAAACTGAAATGTAATTTAAAATGTATATTTAAAGTATATAAAATTTTGTGCATATTTGGTTTGGAACCCCTAAAAAATGTAACAAAATTAGTACACATGTTTAAAATTTCTATAGAACAATTGATAATTGGATGTGCATATGTCTAATGATTATTTTATGACTGCTAAATATCTTTTTTTTACATTTTTCTCAGTATCTCGGAAACGCTAGACCTACAGTTCAAAAAATTTAAGCAATGCTTTATTTTGTCAATACAAGTAAATTGTTTTTGTAAATCATTCAAATCGCGCGCTACGATACTTCAAGAACTGAATTACAGTTAGGCACTTTTTGCCCCGTATTCAAAACGGCTGGACCTGTCTTCGCCAAAAACGAATCAGTACGTCTCCCTATTAGTAGCAATCGAATGTCTGAAATCGTGGACGAAAAATTGTATCAAACGTACGCACACACATACATTCATTTTTTTAAGGTATGCCAAAATGTTCATAAACCTTTGAAACGTAAAGATATGCAAAAATTTTCATTTTCGATTTTTTGCGATTACTATAACTTACCCTACGGGAAGTTAATTACCAACTTTCAGTAACTTAATTAAAATTATTATATTTTTGAAAAATTAATTTTATATGGCGCAATGTTCAATAGTAAAACATTCGAATTAAACTTTATAAAACTTGAAACTTTTAACGTCTTAATTAACTTCCCGTAGAGCAAGTTATAGTAATCGCAAAAAAAACGAAAATGAAAATTTTTATATATCTTTACGTTTTAAACCTTCTGAACCTTTTGGCATACCTTAAAAAAATGGATGTATGTGTGTGTGCGTTTATGTATGTGTGTGCGGATACAAATTTTCGTCGACGATTTCGGGAATACGGATGAAGCGATTTGAACATTTCAAAAAACGTTCGATTCGTATTGATAAGTAGACGTGCTGATTGTTTTTGGCGAAGGCTGGTCTAATCATTTCGAAGATACAGGGTAAAAAGTGCCAAAAATGGTAACTCGGTTTTTAAGAGAACGGAGCGTCCGGTTTTAATAATTCAAAAAACATTTTACTGTTTTGACAAGATGAAGAATTGATCAAATTTTCATGAAGACAGGTTAGCGGTTTCGGAGATTTAGTAAAAAAAGTAAAAAAAGGCCATTTGGCGGTCAAAAATGATCATTTAGACATACGCACATCAAATTATCAGATATTTTATAGGTATTTTAATAATAAGTATAAATTTTGTTTACATGTCTATGGGTTCCGTACCAATGTTTATTCGTTAGACGGCGACGCGGAGCTTACGCGCTTTGACATTTCGTCTCTAAGCAGTTAAAGCAGTACAATTGCTTTGAAAAAAAGTTCAAAATTTCCAAAATATGTCAAAATAAAAGAATACATTTTTTTTCATAAAACGTAATTTTTTGTCAAATTTATAGTTCTCAAAAATCTAATTTGTTCGAAGTAAATTTTTTCAACAATGTTAATCTTTTTAAAAATAATAATTTTTGGTACGGTAATGATGTCATGCGCCCCACTAGTTAAATTTTTAATCACATTCGTTGTACCTACTGCATCTCATCTAATTCGGTTTTCTGTAAACAAAAATATGAATTGCCCGCAACTTCCAACACATTTGCAGAATTCAATATCACACATATGGAACGTGTTATAATATCTGTGGATGCAAACAAGAGCTGGTGAAGGTTTTGTCAGGATGAATATTAATGCATTTCTAACACCCTCTTTTAGTTCCGTGGTTGATGGAATTAGGTTGGAGCTGTGAAGATAGGAGGAGTCTTTGATTTGTTAAGTCATTTGCCGATTACGTTGATCAAAATATTTAATTTCATTTTTATTCTAATTATCCTTTTTCATCAATAGGATAATTTTTGGCACAAGATATTAGTTTTACTGCTTACTATAATGAATGTTAGTACTATACTAGTTGGTGGTAAGGTAATAGACATTAATGATGCAAGTATCCATGATATGTTTTTTTTGCAAATAGACTGTAATCAATGATGTTCGAGCTTTTAACACTAATAAGAACCAAGTACAATATTTGATCAAATGGTTGATTAAAACAACGATATTTTTAATTTGAATGATATATCCTTTTTTCATCAGATAACTATAAATTTTGAATGAATTTTGATTAAGTTGAAATATTAGAAATAAAAAATTATAACTAGTTGGTATTCATATTTAGCCTTGAGGCAAGTTACATGAACTTCCCGATATGTGTAAATAATCGACTTAATCAACAAAAAATAAATTAATTTATGAGTGGATTTATTACACATAATTGAAAACGAACGAACACGTTAACTCGGAGTATTTCAAAAAGCAACTTTTCAAAATCAACAATTCAATCAATTATTTTGTTTGAACCAGTCTCCGTAGGAATTAATGGTTTAGTAGTTTTATTAATACCAAGTACTATATTGTTATACCAAGTAAATCGTCTAATTTTAATTTTACCTAACATCAAAAAACTTCTCATTTTCTTAAACTTTGATGAATTTTTAAAATTAAACTACTTGTCGTAAGGCCGTAATATTGCAGTAAGTTCTATAAGACCATGATATATATCGCTAAAAAAATCCATAAAAATCGGCTTAAATTTTTTTTTCAACAGTTAATTACAAGAAAACGGCTCGGTA